TCGAGATGACTGTGCCAGCTGGCGACAGCCCGGTGTCAGTGGGCGCACTCGCCCCTCCTCCGCCTGATCCAACGCCGCCTCCTCCACTCCCGCTTGCCTTTGGGAACCGCCCAATCGTGCTCCTCCAGCTTGCCAGCTCCTCCTCCTTATAACATGCAAGACGAAAGGCAGATCGCAGCGAGTCGGGCTCGAAAACCTTAACCGCTGCGGCTATCTCTGGCTTTAGGCCAGCCATGCACAACCCAACCAAGGTCTCCTCCGACACTCCCTTGCATTGATTGCCCAGCTTGAAAAAGTCCGCCTTGTACTTCACTATTGTCCCAGTCTGGCGCAGCTTAGCAGTTGCTCCGGCGCCCACCCTTCTGATTTGCCAAACTGATATCGCAGCTCTTCCTTGAACAAGGGCTAGGTGATCAAGGTCTGCGCAGCTGCGCATGATCGCTCCAGCCACTCCCGCCACTGTAACGCGTCTCCCTCAAAGTAGAAGGACGCTAGATGCGTCTTCCATTCTTCCTTGGTGTGATGATTCTTGAACCACCTGTCAGATGCATACAACCGCAGACCTGCATCCTTCTAACCATTGAATTTTGGGAACTCAATGGTAGGGGGTTTGACCCTAAACACCAGATCGCCATCAAAGCCGCGAGGATAGCTGTCATACTTGTCGTACCCCGGAACTCGGTCATGATAGCCCCGCGGTCCTGGCGGCCCTCTGCTTCGGCCCCACTCCTCTTCCTCCTCGAACGGGTACTCCGCATACTCGTCCAGACCAGCCTTCCGCGCCTGACTAGCATCCCATTGCTCTGCCGGTGAACGGGGGACCATGAACTGGCGGGTAGGAGGGTACCGAACCTCTGCCGAGATCTCTTCTGATGCCCGACTCCCGTTCGCCTGATCTGCCCAGGAGCTGGTCCGACCGGTTCAACCCGCTGTTTCGACCCGGTTCGACCCCACCCGGTCCAACCCACTCTGGTCGACCCGACCTGGTTCGGCCCTGCCCACACCCGGGCGGTCGATCCGACCCCCTGCCCGCGCCCCTTCCCATCGGCCCTCTTCCGGGCTCGGTCCAATTCCAGGCCCTCTGATCCGGGCCCAGCTCCTCTTCCTCGTCCAGGCTCAGCCACCCCAGCCCATTGGGTTCCCTGCCTTGGCCCATGGACTCGTGCGGCCCGAAATTCAGCTGGGGGCCCACATCGTCGTACCCGGGCATCTTCGCCTTGCCCTTCATGACCGCGATTTCTTGGGCCGACGAGGTCGGCAACAGTCGCGACCCACGACCCCGCCCACGCCCCGCCGCCGCCGCACGATCAGCTCGGGGCAGCTTTGTGTCCGCCGCCCTACCTCCCTCGGCCATGGCGGACGCTGCGTCTGCCTGCGCCGCCGCCGCGAGCGCCCCGCCCCGGCCACCGCAATCGCCGCGCCAGCCTACGCCGACGTCGCCTTTGCCGCGGTTGTCCCGCCGACCGCCGCCTCGACCCCGCTCGGGAACGTTCCCGCGGTGGTGGCTCCTCTGCCCGCCGCGCCAGGTGCGCCCCCCGGTCGACCGCCATCTCGGCCGAGGTTCGGCGTTCCCCCTGCTCTGTTCCCCTTCGCCTGCAGCGAGGCAACCGCTCGCATCAGGTCCTCAGGCCTCTGACGAAGATCATCAGCATCTGCCTTCGCGCCGGCCTGCACTTCTCGCCAGGCCTTCTTCGAACCGAGCCAGCGCATCAGAGTGCTCGTGCACCACCACCTTCACCGCCTCCAGCTTAGTTTCGTCCTCCACCACCCATGTTGAGCCCTACGTCGGACCGCCTTCGGTGCTTTTCTCAGCTGCCTGAGCCACCTTCTCTGCCGCCTTCATTGACTTTGTCGAGACCATCGTTGCCTTTCCTGGTTCAAGAGCCCAAAAGAACTCACTCTCGAGCCAGGCTCTGATACCATATGTTAGAAACAAGGTTTCTAACGTGATCGGGATTGGGGAAAAATTAGCTAGATCAACTGGGAATTGACCTAGATAGGGATTTGGGATTGGCAATTTTAGAACAAAGGGAGAGGGAAGAAGCTTGCTACTGCCGCAGCTTTTGGGAGAGGAGAGTGAGAGGGGAAAGACGCAGGGGAGAGATAGAGAGAGATGGATTAGGGTTTTAGGTTTTTGTTCTGTAATTGCTTAATGAAAATAATACCACTAGTACAGATTATATAATCCGCATAATCTCTATCTCCTACCCAACTAATAAAACATAAACAATCGACCCCCTTGTTTATTTCCCGAATACCCCAAATAATCCCCCAATAATAAAAAACCGACAATAATACGAAATAACCAAAAACTGCAAATAATGTGTTTCATACACGTAGACTTGTCTTTGTCATAAGAAATAAGATATCCTACATTCAACGGAGTATATCATTAGAAGTTGGTTCCCAGCCTAGTGATCATACGCTTAATGTCCGGCCTTTATTCGCAGGGTATAATTCTTGTGGGAGACTCAAAATTGGTGGTTCATTAGCTCACTTAGGGGTGGGCAATGGGAAACGGGTATTTGGGTATACCCGTACCCGTCCCGTTTTTTAAGGGTTACGGGTACCCATATTACCCGTAATATTATAAACGGATGGGACTTGGGATTGTACATTCCTAATATGGGTACCCGCGGGTTGCTCGCAAATACCCGTTTGGGTAATATGGGTACCCGTTATACCCATTCAATACAAAGGCAGAAATTCATTTCAGCCTAGCCCAATTCACTAATTCAGAACCCATTGGCCATTTCGGCCCTTACCCTTTCAATTCCATTTCGGGCCCTTACCCTTTCACTTTCAGTGAGACTCAGCGAGTCAGCGTCTTCAAAGCGAGAGACCTAGCTCGACTTCCTCCTTCATTCACCGCCGCGGCTTCCTTCATTCACTCTGCTGCGCCGCCTCCATTCAATAGCCAGACCAGCATCAGCCAGCTAGGAGCACCGCTGAGAGCGATCAATGGAGCTAATCAGAAGTGAGTGAATCGAAACGAGCAACAACCATAGTTCTAAGAGCTGCAAGCAGAACCTATAGACGATTCGGTCGAATTGTTCCTTCTCATGTAAGGGGTCAGAGTGACAACTCCACAGGCACTGGGAGATGTTTCCATGTACAGTTGCTTCAGTTCAAACTTCCCAAAAACACAGATCTAATGGGTTCAACACCGAAGCTCAAGGTATGATATGAACAAGGACAACGATCAAGAAACTCAAGAGCAACAACTGTTCACTTCTGCCCGGCAAATTCGCTCATCATTTTCGCGATTACGGGAGTGACCTTTGGGTTTAATTGGTGCTTCGTGAGGTTGGCAGGGGTCTTCATAACTAAATGTGTAATTTGCAAACCAAGTATTTGTGATTGGGATGATTTTGTGTCTTGTGATTGTTAAGCAAGTAGCAAGTTAAGTTTAAAACTTTTGTTAAAATTTTCGTGGTTTAAACTTTGGGTATTTATGGGTTAGTATGGGTACCACGTTTATCCGTCCCGTACGGGTTATGGGTACCACGTTTCCCATATGAGTTTGGGATATGGGAAGGACTTTGGTCTCCAAATGGGACTGGGTACCCGTTTCAAATGGGACGGGTATCCCGTCCCGTCCCGTTGCCCACCCCTGAGCTCACTCGTGGTATGGCTTCCAGTGTGGTGGACAATTCTATTTTTTTGAGATTATCTTCAGATGATGTCAGCTCGGTTAGGATTTAGAACGATCGCAAGAACTGTCAATTGAGATGCATCATGAAGTGGCACGGTAAAACATTTTTCTCTAAGTGTATAATAACGTGGAAAATAAATAACATCCAGAATAAATTCATTTCATTCTGCAGATTTAGAACTCAGAAATGATATGTACCTTTTGTTTAGTTTTGTTTTCCCCAGCAACTTGCTAGTTGCTGCTATTAATAATAAGTGCTGCACTGGCTGCTGGCTGGCTGAGATGGTAGGTGCCCAGTTTTTTTCATTTTTTCAAAGGTATCAAAATCAAAATCAAACCAAACCCCACACTCCTTCCCCCTAAATTCCTCTTCCCCCAGCCCTCCTTTTAATTGTTTCCCTTTTTCTATTTGGTCCCATCATTTTCATTACTATACTCTTTTTCTTTTTTTGTGTGATTTCTTGGGTTCAAACTGTATTTATCAAGAGAGGTCTGGGAATAATGATTTTTTTGTTTATATCCATAATGATTAAATATAAGTGAGCAGTGAGTGAGTGGGTTCATTTCACTGTGATGAACTTTGGTTTGCATAAAAACAGATATTTAAAAAGGACCAAGTTGAGGGGCTCCTTTTAATTTTTAAGCACAGAGACGAGGAAAGGCGGTGCTGCTGTATAGAAAACTAATATCCCCTCCAGAATTCACGCCTTCTCCTGTGTCAACAAGGTAGTTGGCTTATGGGAGCAAACCCAGAAGCACAGCGACCAGCTTGGTTGAAGTTTTCCAATTTGGTTCTAGCTTACTTCATAGGCTTATGAAGTTACCGCAATCTACAATATGATCTTATATCATTAATCAAGATGGAATTTTTCAGTAAACGATTATTAGTTCTGCTAGCAAAACATTGGTTGGATGTATGTTGCAGTCTATTGGTTGGACATCATTAACACGAGTGAAAATTCATAATTGCATACAAATTTTGTTGACCCTTTTGATAAATTCAAGTGTTCTAATAATTACTCCGTGTCGTCTCTAATACCATAACTGCACGAAACCAAATTATGTATTTGCAAATACATCTTACGTTATAGCAAATAATATCAATTTACAAATACATCGACCCAAAAAAAAAAAACGACTGAATAATTTGGATGGCTTTTCTTTGAGAAGAGTAGATTGGACTTTGGGGTAGGTTCCTTGGAATTACTGATTATTCAAACACCACCAATCCCTCAACCCTTGCACCATATTATGGAGTCTGATTACCAAAATCCGGAAAAACACTTTTCCCTGTTGGATTCCCTTTTTCCCGTAGCCTACTAGAGTAGCTTAAGAATCTTCTATATTTGGGCCCTATTCAAGACCAGGGCTTTCTTCTGCTACTGGACCTATGCAAGCTTCCATGGTGGCCCAGCAAACTTGAGTCCTCACAGCGCCTGGACTGGTCTCTCTACTTCTTCATAATCATCACTACAAAACCAAAGCTGCTCTCTGCCTACAAACTGCTGAATCAATTTACACACACACACAGTCACTCTTCTTCGAAGTCCATTAGAAAGTCGGTCAAGTTCTCAGAATCATCTATGGCTTCATCCAGATTCATGGCACCCTCCTTCTTGGCCTTGGGCTGCAAGTCCCACCAAAAAGAGAGCAGGAATGAGAAACCCCGCAAAGGCAAGGAAAACCAGCAGCATGTTTTAGTGAAAAGGAAAGCATAAGAAAAATGGGTTCTTTGGGTTCTTCTTCCAGTCAACAATGAATGATTGGCTTGAGTTCTCCTCCTACTTCAGTAGGTAGTTCGGGAGAAAAGATTCGCTCGACAACCTACCTTTGATTTGCGAAGTTCAGGAGCGGTTTTCAGAACGCTCCAATTGCGGGAAGTTTGCTGTCTTCGTCTTCCTCTTCAACATCACTGGTCTCTTCCTCCTCCTTCACAAATGTGACCGGCTTTCTAGTGTTAGTAATAAAATGAGGCTGATAGTTTCCACGTTGCGCAATGCATAATGCTGTTCGTAGGAATGAAGAGAAAAGTTGAAACTCACATCATTTTCACCAATGTCTACCGCTCGTGCCATGGCGTCATCCATGTCCGTCAACTGCTAATTCAACATTAAGAGGAAACAACATGCATTAGATGTTAAGTTCCGGGACGAAATTATAGCACATGGAAGGTGCAATAAATGACAGCACGATAGATGGTTTGCATGAGAGTTGAGTTTTCTTGCAAACAAGTCATGTGGGAAAGAGGAGGGTCAGAATGACTTACTTCAACTTGTTCCGTCTTTCTTTTGCTAAAGTTTGTTCAAGTTCGTGTCTGGATATGAGCTTGCCATGCTGATCAAAACAGAGGGTTAGCACTTTGCAATCGTCACAATCAATCGATCGATAAAATAACAAAGAAGGTCCAAGCAGGTTAGTACGTAGAAAGTTGAAGCAAGGGTTATGAAGTGGTTATCTTTAAAAATGTTGCCTTTTCTAATATTCTGCATCCGACAAACTCATATATACTAGTCAGACCACTTAATCTAACAGGATTCAATTGTTGAATATACATTATTAGCCTCAAGAAGTCGTATCATTTATTAAATCATATGCTTCATGGATGTGTGTACATATTTTTCATCAGACTACAAGTGTTCCCCACTTAAAAATCTAGCCCTGAACCGAAGACTTCAACAGACTGGCAATCATTCAGATGTTAGCAAGCACTGATAATTACTCGTATCAGGTTTCGACAATCATGCACATAAGCAATCCGTCATAAAGCACGTCAGCTTAAGAGGTCAAGCTTCAACTTTATAACAGCTGATCGCTCAATACAGCAAAGAGAAACTAATCGAAGATATATAATAAAAGGTAACTTCATCACTATATCGAGACAAGATTGTGAACCTCTTTTAGGTATGCCACCATATTGGGTGTTGGTTCATGAAAATCTGGACCCCTGTAATCAATGATTTCATTTGGATCCTGCTTGTAGTTGATTGTTGGGTAAACTGGATCTCCACCCCAAACTGCACAACCAATAAAAATGTCAGTTACAAGAGGAGACAAAAGCGAGAAACATGAAAGCAAACACTTCTCATCTTTGTTTCTCCTCTGATGCATCAAACAGATAACACCAGTTTGGTTCATTTCAACATATGGAACTGAGCAGTTCTAAACACACAGTATCACTTTCTAATCAACAGGATGGGGGATCCACATAAGACAAATCGAATAGAATCAATTACTTTGCTTTATTTGATCTTCTTTGAGCCGCATTGCTAAAGGATCCCTCTTGATGCGAATATCAGTACCCATCATTATACGATATTCTCTATCAGTTTGATAGCTGAACATTTCCATTAGTTGCATGGTTTCATCTTGGCCAGTCTCCTGAAAATGCTCTCTACAGCTTCGCGTGAAGTGTCTCTCTGCCATGCTTTCACCCATTCTGAATAGTATGCCATCGGGCCTATTCTTTCCAGTTTTTCCTGCTCAAGTCGAAGCCTACCCATTCATTGGAGACAAACTACAATCAGAGATAGATTCTAGATAGTGAATCATTTATCAGGTGAAAGACACCCACAAGGGCTGAAGCAATACTGATGTTAGATAGTGAATCATATTCTGCTTCACTGAGTTAGATAGTGAATCATATTCATGAGGAAGTACATCTACCAAAGAAAGAACACCATGCCATGTTAACAGCTATGGCTAACTTTAAGCCATCGAGTCAAAATAGAACTTGAGATAGAAGATCCCCGGTTGCTGTTACCTTTCCTCCTTAT